AAGGATGTGGAGAAATGGGCACCCTCCTACACTGTTGGTGGGAATGTAAACGGGTGCAGCCCCTCTGGGAAACAGTGTGGAGGTTCCTCAAAAAATTAACAGTAGAACTCCCCTATGACCCAGCAATAGCACTGCTAGGAATTTACCCAAGGGATACGGAAATGCTGATGCATAGGGGCACATGGACCCCAATGTTCACAGCAGCAATCTCAACAACAGCCAAATCATGGAAAGGGCCTAAGTGTCCATCAACTGACAAATGGATCAAGAAGATGTGGTTTATCTATACAATGGAATACTACATGGCAATGAGAAAGAATGAAATCTGGCCATGTGTAGCAACATGGATGGAACTTGAGGGTGTTATGCTGAGCGAAATAAGTCAGGCAGAGAAGGACAGATACCATATGTTTGCATGTATAGGTGGATTAGGAGGAACTTAACAGAGGACCATGGAAGAGGAGAAAGGGAAAAATAGTTGGGGAGAGGAAGAGAGGCAAACCATGAGAGACTCTTGAATGCTGAGAACAAACTGAGGGCTGAAGGGGGTGGGGGAGAGGGGTAGGGGGATGATGGGCATGGCTGAGGGCACTTGTTGGGACGAGCATTGGGTGTTATATGGAAACCAATTTGACAATAAACTATTTTTAAAAAAGAGTATCCTTTAAATTTCTATCTTATTTGACAATCTTATGTATTATTCTTTGACTCCTTAAGGTTAGGCTCTGAAAATAAACATTCTCATCTTTCCTTCTCTCTCTCTCCCTCCTTTAATTGCAATTTTGGTAAGCTGAGGCTTTAATTTTACATATTCAAGACAGGTTCTACATTGTGATATGTCATCAACATTAACCCTTTTGGGCTCTGTCTATTCCCTTGGTTGCTGCTAAAATTTGTAAACCAATAAACTTTACATTAACTGTATAAATATTACCCGCTACAGAAACGAGTAGTGTCTGAGGATTATGCTTTGTTCTCTAACGCTCTGACTCCTGTTCCCAGCGAACATTTCTAGTGTTGAGCTCATACTGTTTTTTTATACTCCATCAATTGCTCAAAAATGAGGCCAAAGTTTAGTTGTTTTTCTTTGAGACATAATAGGCTGTTGTAGTGGAAACACAGCAGTCTCAGGAGTTAGCCATGCTTCCCAGCCTGCTCCCTGTGAGCAGTGGGAGAGCAGCCAAAGCACTTACCTTTTTGTCATTGGTTCTATGAGATGGGATAATACTACATCCCAGGGCTGTTGCAAGAACTAGACTCATGGAGTAACTACTCATGAAATACAGGCTGTACAATCCCTTCTAGTCCTGTTCTTTTAGGCTCTCTAAAAAAGTAAGTCTTCTGAGCAGTTTTGGGGGTATTCACCACACATCATATAAACATGTGACCACCCGATATATTCCTTTAGATGGCCAAGTGAATCACATCCTAGATTTTCAAAATTACAGATTAGAAATGTGTGTTCATTTTCCCGCACAGGCTAAAGTTTACTTGTGCTCAGAAATCCTTTCTTTAATACTCAGTACAAAGTTTAATATATTTATTTATGCCATTCACTGTGTCACTATGAATTTATGGCATGCACAAAATTTAGTAGTGTACACATTATTTCTAGAAAACTGAGGAAAAGATCAAGTTATTCTTAAGCGTTTCAGAAGCACTGCACTGTTCACATACGAATGGCAATGTTGATTATAAATATCTTTAAGAAAAGACAGCCAGTCCCATTATATCCGTCCCTTTAGATGACTAAAACAAGTTTTGTTGTGCCAATCATCAGAGCCATTTGCATTTTTCTGCATTTATGCATTCAAAAAAAGAAAAATGAGGGGCGCCTGGGTGGCTTAGTCGGTTAAGCGTCCGACTTTCGCTTAGGTCATGATCTCGCAGTTCGTGGGTTCGAGCCCCGCGTCGGGCTGTGTGCTGACTGCCAGCTCAGAGCCTGGAGCCTGTTTCAGAGTCTGTGACTCCCTCTCTCTCTGACCCTCCCCTGCTCATGCTCTCTCTCTCTCTCTCTCTCTCTCTCAGAAATAAAATAAAACATTAAAAAAAAGAAAAAAAAAAGAAAAATGAAAACTTTAAGATAAACTGGTCCAATACCTAACAACCTCATTTTATTAGGGTGAGAAAACACCAACTTGTTAAACGAATGCCAGTTTGTTAACAGCCATGTGCTTTCCTTCCTCCGCACTCCACAGCATTTTGTATTCTTATCTGTTTGTCCATTCATTCAGTCAATAAATATGCATGGAGTTCCTCCTCTTTGCCAGACCCTTTAGGGGAACAACTAAGCGGCAATGAATGCAGATGTCTCATTGGAGAAGTCTGGCTGAGCAGAAGAAAAGAGAGCTAGGGTTGGAGTAGCTGGAGGGGCTGCTGAGTTTTCCACTGCTGTTTAGAAAACTGGAAGGTCTGTGCTCATGTTTTCTCTCCCATCAAACTGCATTCCTTTGCAGTAGGGGCTGTATACTTACATTTTACGTAAATACTGTAAGAGCTCACAGTATAGAACCTTGCAAATAGCAGTGTTTGAATAAATGTTTGTTGAACGGAATTAATTTTACCACTACCACCCCCATTCCCTTCTTCCTAGTCCCCTCATTGTATCTCAGACCTCTCCAAGTTCCTATAGTTCCAAGGATGCTTTTCAGATCAGGAACTTGGGATACAGCAATATTGAAAATCAAATGAAGGCAATTCCAACCACTACCAAAGAGTCTGCGGTATAGCAGATTGGGCACGGACCACATCGTTTTCATCTTTGTATCTTCCGTGGCCAGCACAAGGCCTGGCACAAAATGGAAGCTCCGTAAATACTCAGCAAATAGAGCCTTGCAATCTAGTGCTCCTCAGAAAGCAAACTTGAAATTGGGTATCACAGAAGAATAAATCTTCTTAATCTATGTGAGACATTATGCCCAGATTTAGCATTTCCTTTCATTAAAAAATGTTTTCTGAGCATCCGTTGCAGGTCCAGTGCCAAGTACTGGAATTATTCAATTAATTATTCAATCATTTAACAAAGAGTTACATGCTGAGGATTTGGGAATGATGTCCATTCTGCCTCCAGGGGGCTCCAATTAACAGCCTTGACTGAGAGTTGGGTCTGTTTCCCCACTACATTATACGCCCTTTCAGGGAAGAAAGGATAAAGAATTCAGGTGCGCTCCCCCAGTATTCACTACTGAGGCTTGCAGAACACAAAAATCCTAAATGTTTCATGATTATGTTACCCTTCTGCTCAGAACTATGCAGCGTTCTCCATTTCACTTACAGTACATAACCGAAATCCTTACAAGGGCCTATACTCCTCATTACGATCCACTTCCCCCATCTAGCGTCCTCTGCACTTTCTGGTCTACTTGCTGCTCCTAACATACTAAGGATGTTCCCACCTCAGAGCCTTTGCACTTGCTGTCCTGTCTACCTCCAATGCCCTTCCCCTAGTTAACTATATGACTACCTGCTTCACTTTATTCTGGTATCACTGCCCAGCATGGCACACGTTTTCCTTACTTTTTGTCTGAACTTCCCCATTACTATAATGTAAGCAGGTGTTCTGTTTGCCTTGTCCACTACTCTATCCCATACGCCTAGAAAAGGGCTTGGTACATAACAGACGCTCAATAAACACTTGCTGATTTAATAAATTCTCCACCCACTCCCATCTCTGAGTTGACAGAAGCCGCAGATCTTTTCTAACCCAAATCCCACCTGAAGAGCATGTCGCTGGGCGCTGAGGGATGGGCCAGCCTCTGTTTGCACGTTCGCTTCTCTCATTTTCTTAAGTTTTAGTCCACCGAACCAGGCTCCAGTCCTCTGGCACCTTCAGCACGAGAACACCAACACCCCAGGCCGGAGAGCACCCCGCCCGTGGGCCCCGTCTGGCCCACAGCCTGCTAGTGCGCGCGGTAGCAGAAAGGGAAAGCACCAAGAAGGTGGAGGACACCAGGCCACACGACTATTGAGGGTCGCTTCCCGGCATCTGTCCCACCTACGAACCAGGCGGCAGTCCCGCGCCAAACCCCTTCGGCCCCACGTCCGCACCCCAAAGGGCCCGGGCGTACCTGAACCCCTCACCTCGCGCAGCCCCGGCGGCGCATATCAGGCCCCGCCTCCGACCTAGCTTCCGGTTCCTGCCCCTCCTCCCCTCCAAATGGCATTCTGGGAGTTGTGGTTTTCAGCCTGGCAGCTTGGTGTGCGGGAGCCAGTGGGAGGCTTTGCCTTCCACCCGCGCTGGCAGTAGGGAGCTGCCTACCGCCCAGGTGTTGCTGCGCCTGTCTGAGCCTGTTTCCTCGGCTGTGAGATGGGGATTACGATCCCTGCCGCTCGCCGGTTTCGCAGGACTGCGGCAGGCAACCCAGGGCTTTGATGGTTGTCAAGGGCTGGACATTGGGAAAGGGACTAAAACCAGGCTTGAACCACCCCCCATCTCACAACATGGGGGTCTTGCCTTCCCTTGGGACCCCCTACAACCAGCAGAGCCCACGAACTGACTGACACAGGCTTCCCTAAGCACACAGCTGCCCTCACCACCACCTGACGTCTAGGCAGACAATAGAGGATATCTGGGCCTGGACCCTTAACACGTGAGTCTAGCCTCCGGCCACTCTCCCTTCTCCATCTCCCCTTACAGATCCAGGGGGAAAGCGAGGCTCAGAGACCTGAAGAGACTTGTCCAAGCCTTGGCCTGATAAAAACTAGCAGCCACTCTTTACTCTTCCCTTTATTCCTGCTATAGAGACCCTAGCATGAATGAGCCTGAAATATCTCCCACCCGAGAAACCACAGCCATGTTGGACCCCTCCTTGGCCCCACACTGTTTCCCTCTCTGGACTTTTCTTTTCATAGCTCCTCCAGCACCCCCACCCCGTCCCTAATCCTTCAGTCCATCCTTTCTCTGCTACTGGAGCAATTTTAAATGTTAAAAGTAAACATTCTTTATCCCCCAGAAGGCTTTTTCCTGAATCCCAGCTCTAACACCTCTTCTCTGCTCAGACGCTGGTGTTGGCTTCCCAATCAGCAGGGCACGCAGAGTGGCTCAAAGGATCTTCGGTGGCTCCCACCACACCTACCAGTCCCTACACTGTGCCCTCAGCCAAACTGGATACCTTTCCTCTCTCCCTGCCACTGCTCTTGTGTGTGTCTGCACCTTTGAATGAGCCCATGGCCAACCCCACAGAAAAGCCCTCCTAGCTGGTCTGACTGACCCCTCTCCCCAACCTCCATTCCCACCACGCAGCAGACATCCGTTTGCCAGGTGATTATGTGTCTCCCCTGTTTCAAACCCTAGTGCTTCCATTGTATTTGGACGTGAACTCTAACCTTCCCGAGGCCTTCCCCACCTGGTTCCTGGCCGCCCCTCTAAACTCATCCTATAACTTTTCCTGTGGCTTGCTGTGTTCTGGTCACACCTGTCTTCCTGAAATGCTTCAAATATACCAAAGACTTTTGCAGATACTGTTCCCTTTCCTCTCACTTTTTCCATGGCTGGCTCCTTCCTCCCCTTTCAGCTTCAGCTTGAACCTTTCCTCTTCAGAGAGACCTTTACTGATCACCCAGGTAAGACTGGCTCATCCTATTTCTATCTTAGCACTCTTCATTTCTTTATATGACCTATCAGTCAGTCATCTTTTATTTCTGTGTCTTTCCTACTAAGTTTCTGAGGGAACATGTATCATGTTGATGATTTAATTCCCAGTGCCACCGCACACTAAATTTGTATTGACAGAATCACCTAATGAGTGATTTTTCTTCTTTCTTAACACATCCAAAACTTACCTTCCTATCTACCAAATCTAGGACCTGATGCTCTGTAGCTACTTCTAATTAATGCTGCCTCCTACAGGAAGCCTTCCATGATCATCACTCTGTCCCCAACCAAAAAATGACTTCTGTCCTTTGAGTTCTCATAGCACCTTATCTGTCCTCTTTGGTTGCCCTGAGCAGACCATGCCTTCTATTTGTAGGTCTGTATCTTTATATGTCATCTTATCTCTTAGACCAGGAGCTCTTGAAGACAGGATTCTTATCCAGTTATTTACATCACATCCATAATCCCACATCAGGCATCATCTGCAATGGGTGTAACAAATGTTTGTCTAAAGAAACGGATCAGCCAATATTATGGTGAGCAGGAAAAGGAAGGAGGAGTGTAAACGTCTGGTAGTTTCTTAGTCATTAAACAGTTAGCTCTTGCATTGTATCCCATTCTGCCTATTCATGTAGGGGTCTGTGTATCTCACAAAAAGTGCTAAACAGAACCAGACCCATTCCCACCCCTCATTTTAACTTCTCAACAAGCAGTGAGGGATTTCCTGGAACTTCTGGGATGAGTACTCTTCATGGGAACTGCAGAGCAAAATACTAACTCCATACAGTAGCAACCCAAGAAAGTTCATGGATTTGAGGAGAGAGGAAGCAAAGACAGACAGACGTAAACATTTGAATGCCTGTGCCAGAGGCTTCACAGTCTTCTTCCCACCTTGCATGATTATTTCTCACAATATGCCAAATGTGTATTACATAACAATCTCTAGTTTGGGGTTTTGTCCTCATGGATAAGAAAATGTATTCGAGGTATCTAAGTAAGGCATCTGGCACACTGTGGGCCCTCACTAAATGAGATTAGTAATATTTCCTTTTGTCGGTTGGGGAAACTGAGGCCCAGAGCAGTGCCTAGAATAACATTGCCAGGATTCCAGCTCTGGTTAAGTTGAAGTCCTTAAGTTGAGCTCCTTCCTTTAACTTGCAAACATACAGATTATGCTCATGCAGATAAACTACATAGCTCTTCAGAGCTTTCTGTTGGTAAAAGTGTTCAAGTCCTGTTTAACATCATACAATTTTTATTATTTTAGTGTCCTATTTTTCCTATTATTCATGGCCACAAAATCACTTCAAATCTATGTTCAAGAGCCTTATATAAATTTTATTCAAAATATTCTATGAAAAACAACTAAGAAAATAAGTCTTTTCCTGGCACAAGTACTGCTTAATTGGTTAGTTAACAAATAACTGGTAACAAGGGGTGAGAAAGACATCTTCTCTTCTCCCAAAATATTGCTTTCCTCTGATCGCCAAGGGTTTGGGTACATAACACATTCATCTTGCCCCTCCTTTTTCTGGGTGAAGGAGAGGAATTAGGAGGCCAGTGCAGACGCACAACTGATCAGGAGTACCAGAGGGACAAAGGGACCCCTTGAATGACCTCCAATAGTTCAAGGCGACTGTCTAAGGCCTAGACAGAGAAGCCAGGGGAAAAAAGACATCCCAGAGGTATCTTGAGATCAGTTTTCCTGGAGTCTGAAAACAAAATGTAGGAAATGGTTTCACACTAGGAGAGGCATCCATAAAGTTTGGGGATTATTACTGAATTTTACTGAGTATTTACTAGATTATTTATTAGATTTCTACCCTACAAAGCAGGAACTATTAATATTTAGAGTAGAGAAAAACAAAGCCCTGGGGCTAAGTAGCTTGTCCAACGTCCCACTAGGATTAACTGGAATTAACTGGTTTAATTGGGATTAGTGAGAAAGGTACTAAATATATTTCTCTCCTTCTAATATTATTCTTAAAAAGGCAAATCGAATTCAGGGCTTTAATGTTTGTCTTTTCAGGTATTTACAAGAGAAAAAGGACGCAGCATTCAGTCAATTTGAGATAAAGCATAGAGCCACCCACGCCTGGATGTGGGTCACCAGGCAACTAAGGAACTTACTGCCACCTAGTGGCAACCTCTGCTTGTCATAGCGAGGCAGCCAAGAATACCAGGCCTGCTGGTGCAGGTGCTGCAAACCAAACCTTGTGAAGGTAAAATCGATCAAATATCATGTGTATTCACTCCTATTTGTGATGGTTATTGCCAAATCAGTGCGATATGAGAAGTCAAGACCATTTTTCAGTGATCCCCACCTTCCTCCCTCATCACTGTCATCCTCGGCCAGTCTGTAAATTCCTCTTGCTTCCTCATCCCCAGGGTAAACGATTAGGGCAGTTTACTGACAGCATGCTACTTATCTGCATTCCCTCCCGCGCGCCCCCCCCCCCCCCACAGAGGGTCTGTGAGCATCCTAACCAGCGGTGAGGACTTGTCTAATTCACCTTTCTATCCTAAGTTCCTAGCACATGGCCTGACTCAGAGGAGGTATCCAGTGAAATGTTTGTTGAATGAATATGAGTGAAAGCTTTTGAACCAAACTTATCATCACTCTGTATGACGAGGCCAGGATTAAGCAGCAGTTTATTTGAATACTCTAGTAAACATTTTGGAGGGGTGCTGGAGGAGTGGAGGGGCTTCTCAAGGAAGTGCCCCCCAGGGCAAGGCAGGGGCCTGGGCGACCCGCCTGCTCACAGGGCGGTGGATGCCCGGAACTTCTGGGTCAAACAAAACACGGCAGCCGTGAGAGCCGTGCACTGACGGGCCAAGAGTTTCACACTCAGGTCATGGTAGCCTCTCTCGCAGGTCAGCCTAGCAGCCTCTACGAACTGCTGGTAGGCGCACACCACGTCCCTCAGGTCCCCTGCTGCTTCCCTGTGCCGAGTGGAGCAGCGGCTGCAGTCTGTGAACTGGAAGCACAGGCCGGCCAGCTGGACCAGGTGCTGGAAGGTGTCCCGCACGGCGCCCTGCATCTCTTCGGGAGACTGGTCCATTCTGATCACATGTTGACAGCTCGCCAGGAGCTTCTGGGAACCCATGCAGAGGCGGCTGCGGCTTTCCGAAAAGTGCCAGGTGCACTTCTCTGGGGGATGTTTGTTCCCATTCCCCCAGGAAGCTTCTAAAATATCTTGTAATTCCAGTAAGCTCTCTGTGAGTTGGATAAAGCCCTCCGGGGTGCTGGCAGGGACAGCCTTCAGCTGTCTCAGGGCCCTGGAGCAGTACTCTGGCCAGATGTGGCTGTTCCTCGACAGGGGCTCGGCACTGCAGCTGTGGGCCCGGGCGGGCCTCCAGGGTAGGGCCAGCCGGCTTCCTGCAGAGGGCGGCGAGGTGAGGGGGGCAGTGGGGTGTCCTTCCGCGTCCCTGTCTTCTTCCTCTGCCTCTGGCTGCAGGCCATGGAAGCATGTGGCATAGGAGAACTGGCAGCTGCACTGCTCCGTCCCAATTCTGGGGGCCATTGCCTCATGCACACCCACAAACCCCAAAGATGTGGTCATCCTGAGACTGGCAGAAACTTTAGGTTGGCCATCTGGGGCAAAGCACAGGAAAGACTTCTCAGCAGGAAGGCAGACGCTAGGGCTTTTGTCTTTGTTTTCTGACAGTGAACAATGGTTTGAACCTTCTAAGTGGGGCTCCTTTGGGGGACACGGTAGTGGAGTTGGCAGAGAAGGACCTGGATTAAAACAGATCTGCTGAGGAGTATCCCTAGAGGCTGTGTCTTCCCCTATCACGTGGTTAAGTGGCTCTGCCGTGACCCCCTCCAGAGGGACAGCTGATGGAATGGTCTGGTCCCCAAGCAAGAAATCAGGGTCTAAATCCAGCTCTTCCAATAGTTTTTGCTCTTGGGCCTCGCAGGCTTGGTCTGGGGTTTCTCTGCTTTGTCCTTTGGGGCCCGTAGGGGAATGTGGCAGGATCTGCTCAGTTCCTGTTACAGGAGTCTTCAAGGAGAGGGAGGCTACCATTCCACCAGCCAGAGCACTGACACCAATAGTCTGTGGCACGGCATTCGACAGGTCTCTCTTGGAGTCACTTGCATCTTTCCCAGATTCACCACAAAACAAACTGATGCCATTTTTGTCTGTAACTTCTCCATTGTGTCCCGGGGATAGGTGTCCTTCTTGTCCCTCTTCTGGAGGGAGAGGAGCCATCTTCTCTCCTGAATTTATCCCACATTCGCCACTTCCTGGCCTGACTGCAGGAGACAACAAAGGCTCTGTGTGTTTGGGGGCAGTTTCTTGCATAGGATTTGTAAACAAAGATCCCAGTCCTGTTTCCAGTTGGACCCCTCCCACCCCTAGGGTGTCTGCTTGAGAGACAAGACGTGGCCCTGGGCTGATGGTCACGCAGACTCTATCTGGGTTTGGGTCAACACTGGAGAGGGAAGAGTTGCTGTCCCCAAGTTCTAGGGTGAGTTCTTTGGGGACACTGCCATCCGAGTGTTGAAGGGGAGACAAGGAACCGGAAGGCTCTGCCCGAGCAGCATCTAGGCCAGATGAGCCTGGGTTGGAACAGGGAGGGGTGCTTGCTGGGGAACTGGCAACAGTGGCACTCAGGGGGGCAACCCCAGAACTCTCTCTATGGTTGGGGTCAATCCGGAGGCGAATGGCAGAAATAGAAGACACTCGAGAGTCGACGACTGACTTGGTTTCCATGGTCTCGGGCTCCATCTCCATGACCCGGGAGGCTGGGTTTTTGCTCTGGGTCTTCCTTAAGGGACCCAGCAGCCCCAGGGCCTTGGTCTCCAGGAGGCCAGGCTCACCTTGCATGTCCTGCAGAGAGGACACAGTTGGGGAGGGTGCCCCGAGGGCCAGATAGGGCTCCCTGTCATAGTAGCACACGTCGTCCACGCTCTCTAGGGAGGCTGATGGCACCAGAGGAAAGGACACCTGACAAGTGTAGTCGGTCTGTAGGAAAGACCTTCTTTTTCTCAGAGTCTTGGCATACTTCTTCACCCCTCCCTTTCTGCTTGGTTCTCTTCCATCTGGCCCAGGATTCAGGCTGTCCCCACGGATGCAAGTGCTAGCCTTGTGCTGCAGGCTTGTGGCACTGGGCTCTGCGGCAGACATAGCTCGGGGCCCTGAGAATCAAGAACGGAAAGAGTACGTGAAAAGCAGAAAAATAAAGAGACTTACAGAGGTTGGGCCCAGGACTCAGGGTTGCCTGGGTTTGGATCCTGGCTGGACTGGGTAACCTTGGGCATATTAAATCTTTATCTCCTCAATTTGCTCATCTAACAGAATGGGATAATAATGGCAGGAGACAATTTTTGGTTCTTTGTTGCCCACAATGCAGTTTATTGTCTTTGGGTCACAGTACCCCAACTTCCTTTCAGGGCGCAAAATCTCCCCAAAGGTTACTGTCTGCTGGAACTCTTCATGAATGTGCCCTATGCGCAAGCAGCCAAGAAGCCAGATTTATGACCTTGAGAGTCAGACGCAAAATTTCCTAGAATTTCACAAGCATATTTATTTTTAAAATAATAATAATCAAAACAGAGCCCATCCTTTGCAGCCACAGGATCCTGACAATGAAGACATGGTGAGAAGTCCTGTCACCCAGTCTCCGGGCCTGGTTACCACCTGTGTCTAAACCGGCTCTTCACCTTTGCTAGCAATTCTATAAGCGATCTGACATCCTTCTAACACTCTTGCTTTGTGCTTATGACAACCCAAGTCTGACAGGAGCAGCGGTAGCAGTCAGCACTGCCCTACGGTGCTGATTCGATGCACTGGTGCTTACCAAGCTCCCCGAACAAGGCCTGTGCTAACAGTGGTTCAGTGACAGGAGCTCCTACCACCACTGATGTTCTTGTGTGAGGATTCTGAAGGAGCTTTCTCTTGAGAAAAAGTGTCATGACTCAGTCTCAAGTATGAGGGGTTTTGTGCATACCAGGATGGACATTTCTTTTTTTTTTTTTAATGTTTCTTTCATTTATTTTTAAAAATTTTTTTAATGTTTTTATTTATTTCTGAGAGAGATAGCATGAGCAGGGGAGGGTCACAGAGAGAGGGAGACACAGAATCCAAAGACAGGCTCCAGGCTCTGAGCTAGCTGTCAGCACAGAGCCCAATGCAGGGCTTGAACCCACGAACCGTGAGATCATGACCTGAGCCAAAGTGAGACGCTCAACCTACTGAGCCACCCAGGCACCCCCAGGATGGGCCCTTCTGAGGAGAGAAGCACTTTGTGATGAAGTCTGGGGAGTCAGCCAGAAGGAATCAGGTACATTGAGAAGCACTTGAGAATCAGTGTTTATCCTCAGACCAGTGGTCTTATCCTCAGAGAAGTTATTTCCAGTATGGCTACGTCTTATTCAAAACCTTATCACCTCTAGACTGCTCTTCAGGCCTTTTTAGTCAGAATCTCAGAGGCTACCACCTAAGAAGCTAGGGTATTTAAACCAGGTCCCTTGAGTAATTATGATGCCCACCCATGTTTTGGAGCTGCTGCCCTCGGCTACCTACAGCCACTCACCAAGGGCATTTCTGAGGCCTAAAAAGGGAGAGACTCCCACAGTGAGTCAGGGACCAGACCAGAACCCAGGCTCAGGACTCTCTCCCCAGCATCTTATTGGCTCCTTATGAAAAAAGGGAATATCCAGTATGGACTTTATTTCCCTGGCTAAGATTCCTGTAAGGGAAGGCCTTGACTGATGGTTTCTGCTGTGCTCCCATCTTGAACCCTGCACAATGGCTGGCCCAGCTGGGCAAAGCTGGGGGCATGGATGGCCGTGGGCTGGGTTCTTTGGAGAACAGTGCGAATCTTCTCATAAGTTTCTCCTTCTTTACAGGCACAGCCAATTAACGAATTCAGGGTAGATGGTAGAGAATGTATTCATTCACTCATTTAGCAAAACCACCAGGCACTATGTGCGGAGGAGACATGGGTGAGTGTGCAACACAGTCCCTATACTCTGAGGAGTTCTTGGTTTAATAAAGATGGGAAACATCACAAAAGTCACACAAATAAATATACAGTTACAAGCAGTGCTAAGTGCAGGCAGGAGGCACCCAGGGTGCTATGAAAACACGTGAAAGCTGCCCCATTCTTGGCGCAGTCT